CCATGGAGACCCCACCCACCCGCCCACTCCATCTGGTACCCAAGGCAGATGGGGTACCAGGTGCGGAGCAGACAGGCTGGGGTGCCCAGGCATCAGGACCAGGACCAGTGGTGTAGACACTGGCAGCAGCAACTGGACATGCCAGCAGGGCTACCAGGAAGCTGAGTCTGGCTGCCACGCCACCCCCACTGTGCCACGTGCCCAGTGATGGCAGGACTGGCCACATGCGCCATGCCCCAAGCTGTCCCCCACACCTGGGCTGGGCAGGGCTGAGAGACCCACTGTGGGCTGGACAGAATCCCTTAGTGGGCTGGATCTGGCCTGCAAGCCATATTTTGCCAACTCCTGAGGTAGAGCCTTTTGTTTTCATATTTAGTTCCAAATTTAATCATCTATATTCATTCTGGCATTAGAACTACTACAAAATGTTCTCGTGTATATTTAAGGTCACACAAAACGTCAACAATAGAGGTGCATGCATATATCAGTCCATATCGTATCAGCACCAATAAAAGGAAAATTGACATCATCAGCAATCAGGTTTTTTTGGTTGATGTACCTGATAATGTTGCCAATAAATGCCATGTGCGTGGGTAGAACTGCAGCATGCACACAGCCAGCCTGGCAGTTTGGAGAGCAGCATCCAGCTGGTAAATCTGTTGGTGGGGGCGGTGGAAGGGTTAGGGGAGGGAAGGGGTAGATCAAGGCCCCTGCACGGAGAGGGAGTGGGTATAGGGTAGGCGCTGCCTAGCTGGGGTGGGGTGGGGTAGGGTGCCAAACAAAGCCCCCAGCAGTTTATCCGGGGGGGAGGGGGAACATAGGAAGGGGGGAGCTCCTGCTGCTGCCCAGACCCCTAGGGGAGGCATGGGGAGCATGTGCCCCCCCCCAGATCTGTGTGTAGGGTAAGGGCAGGCTGGATCCAGGGGAGGTGCCAAGTTCCTCCTGGCATCAGTGGAGGGGATGAGCCACCCATAGCCCTCCCTGCCAACACCACCATGGCGCAGCCCAAGCGCAGCCCTGGCCCAGGCTCCCTGCCACCAGGAAGAGCCCTGCGCCACCTCCGGTCCCAGCCTGCAGCAGCAGGTCACTCCACACAGAAATTGAGAGGCACATGCCCCTCACACCTCCCCCAGGGGTGCAGGCAGCAGCAGGAGCCACCACCACCCTCGCCGCGCCCCCAACGAGCTGCTCACAGCTCCATCCAATGCCCCACCACCTCACCTGGGTAGCGCCTGCCCCTGCCCCACTCCCTCTCGCCACAGAGCCCTGGACCTGCACCCCCACACACCCCTTCTCCACCCCCCACCCCCCAATAGACTTACCAGCCAGATGCTACTCTCCAAGCTGCCAGGCTGCATATCAGCAATTGGATCAGTATCAGCTGATACAGCTTGTTAATAAATCGGCCATCAGTACTGGCCGCAAAATTTGGTTTTTATCGGTGCACCCCAAAGCAACTACAAAAAGATGTACACTCTACTTTATTTGGAATAGCTATACCATACCACTCTTCTGTCCAAAAGGATATATGACCAATAGGAGAAATATTTTAAATATTTATGTTACCCAAGGCCAGTCAGGTCCAGAAGCAATGCACGTATGAGGTAGTGGCTAGGCCAACTTCATAACCAAACTAGAAACTGAGATTTATATCAAGATCTGTTCTTCAGCTCTGCTTCAGGACATCATAATTTCTTCTTCCTGCCACTGATGCCAGGCAGAGCTGCAAGAACCACAGTTGTACTGAAACTGCCTTTAGACTCTAAGAAGCAATACTGGATCAGTTTAGCTTTAAAAGATTATTTCAGAGACCACAAGGTAAAAAAAATAGTTTAACAGTGGGTTTTACACTGCAAGAACTAATTGCTTAGGCTTCTATACTCAGATAAAGTTTTCTACTTGTTAACACACTGATTTGGATATTGCTGATAATCGGGTTTTTCCCAGGTAAATATTTCATTCCCACCAAGTTGCATGTCTTTGGTAACTGAAACTCAGTTACTGAGAGAACTGTAACACATACCCTACTTTAAGATAAGTATCATTACATTCTGTATTTGTTCCCCAAACACATGGTCAAAAATAGCCACCAAACAATTTCCACTTCATATACATTGTGTACCTTCTAATCCATATTATTCAGACAAAATATAATCCATGACACCTCTTTCGGTATTTTCAACTTTTGTTAGTAATAGAAATCGTCTGAACTAGACAAGAGAAAAAATTCCGAACAAAAAGAAATGTGGCACTAACAAACAATACAGTACACAATATGTTTAAACTACACTGGACTAAACTTAAGTCTGCAGTATATGACCTTATCAACAAGATTACTTTCCACAACAGAGGTCCATGAATTATTTAAACTCAGCTACATTCAGAACCGATTAAGTTTCATGCTATAGTCAGTCACTCGTATTGTAGGCATAATTTTTAAACAAGTATTTAAGAACTCACCCAGAGTCCAGAAAGACTTTTTTCTAATGATTTTTATTATACACACAAAAAGACATCACCCTACTTGGACCTGGATTTACTATTTCAAAATTCTACTACCATCACCCTGAAAGTCAACATGTTGGCCAAATAGGAAGACGACTGCTTGTCATTAAATTTGTGCTATTTCAATAGCGGCAATAATTCCACTGCCTGTTAGATCACTTCCTAATTTAATCCCATGTCATCATGTTTGCACAAAAAATCATTTTTACACAACTTCATTAACCAAAATAATCAGCCAAAACAGGAGTTAGGGTGTCTGTCAGAAATCCCATACTTTTGCTGAATTTCATGAACAAAAAAACAAGGCTACTATGAGTTTAGTTTGCAGGGGTTGTTAACTATAGTCACTTTTTCACCTCTATCCAGCTTTAAATAACAGCACCAGTAATCATTTGGCCATACCCTGTAAAACTGGATTATATCAAGAGCAAGCATGGTACTCTCTCAGGCGTTTTCAAACTTTTCTGGTCAGTGTACCCCCGGTACATAGTGGAGAAGCAGGGGCGGGGGGGGTAGGC